GGCCCCACCAGGCTGAGGAACATCAGGGAAAGCTTCCTGGAGGAGGAAGGACAGAAACGAATCAGTGAGGACAGGAGTTGCCTGCGAGGTATCCTGGCTGTATGCAAACTCAGTCAGAAAAGCCCCTGAACCTCCGAGGTCAGGAGAGAGACACATGCGAACACTCACACTTATTCCTTCAACAAATATTTATTGAGTGCCTACTAGATGTGATAATGCTGGGGACACAGTGGTGACCGAGACAGACACGGTCCCTAACCTCATGGAACCACAGTGGTAAAATAGAAAATAAATGTGTAAATTAATAAATAAGGTTGTTTCATAGCGTATGTTAAGATGAAAATAAGAGAGGGCAATGCGAGAGGTGAAAGTGATTTGGCGAGGGCGGAGGGGCCAACATAGGATGGGTGACCTGGGAGGCCTCTCTGAGAAGGTGACATGGGAGCTGATGAGGAACCAGCCACAGGGAGGACCTGGGGAAGGGGGTGTTCCAGGCAGAGCAAGTAGCAAGTGCAAGGGTCCTGAGTCAGGAACGAGTTTGGCTGGTTTGAGGAGCCCCCAGGGTACCTGGAGTGCCAGGAACACACGGCACGGGGTTGAGAGGAAGAGAGAGAAATAGGCAGGGCCAACATGGCTTAGGGCCTGCAAGCCAAGGAGGGAAGCTTGGATTTTGTCCCAACTGTGATGGGTGGTTCTTTGAAGGTTCTGAGAAGGGGAATGGCACGATCTGACAGGTTTTAAAGATAACCTGCTAGTGGTCATGTGGTTTTGCCACAGAGAAGGCAAAAGATGATGGTGACCTGGACCATGGTGGAGAGAATGGATAGACTGGGGATGTGTGTTGAGGGAGAGCAGATATATCCCCGAAGGCTGGATTCCTTCCCCGAGATGGAACATCCTGTTCTGTGTGTGGTTATCAGTCCCATTTGTGGTGAAGGTCACGTTCTTCCAATTTTCTTTCAAATAGAGTGGAACAGGGCAGGCTTCCTGGAGGAGGTTTCAAGAGAGGCTGCTTGGGGATCAGGAGCCAGAGGCCTCCACGTAGCATATGCTCCCCCTCTCTATGTGCACATCCTCCTGCAGTTTACAAATGCTCGCAACAAGAAGGAAAGTGAGGCTCAGAGAGGCAGAGAGACGACCCAAGGCCACACAGCATCTAGAGCACGACTGGGCAGCAAACCCACAAGCTCAGCATGTTGCCATCTTGCCTTTCTGATCCTCACCCCGAGGGCCGTGATGTAGGCAGAAGGGCAAGTGCTGGCCCCTTTTTAGAGAAAGTAAAACCGAGGTTCAGGGAAATTAAGATGCCTGTCCTCGGCAGGCTGTTTTAAGACTTTTGTGGGCCCCACATCGATCAAGCATATTAAAATGCAGCCATGTCAAACAGCAAATGTAAATTATATATAACCAGGTAAAAGCCAAATTGCAGCTGACTGGCTGATATCATGTTCTGTTTTGCAGACATTTAATTAAACATTGATTAATTTTGATTCTGCAGTTTTCCCCTGTTTTGGAGCCAGTTTCCTTTTTTTTTTCCAGGCCTCAACCATTTTCCTAGGCCTATAAAAACCTCACAGGCCCTTGGCAGCGAGCATGTAGTGCAGCTGGAAGAGCCACCGTTTTTGGTCCTTTTGCCAAAGCAGGCAGAGCAATGTGGAACCGAGGCCCTTTCACCCCGAGACTACAACACAATCTTTCCACACTCCCCGCTGACCCCATATTTTGGGTCTCAGAGGCTTTCCTTCTTCCCCTACCTCTTCCCTGCTTTGGCCGACTGTGGTCCTGGGCTAGGTGAGCCCTTTGTCTGCGGTTAGGTGAAGCGTGGGGCTTTGGGAACTGACAGAATGGAGTAGGAGTGGGCGGGGAGGTGGGCAGGCAGCCTGTCAGGTGGTGATGGATGCTGGCTGGGCCGGGGCCTCCCTCATGCTGACCAGGGCCAGGAAACAGATGGTCTTCCAGCCTGAGAGAAACTTCCAGGGTGTCACCCTCCCCCAACTCCCCAGGCCCCTTCACGTTGGACCAGCTGGTCTATCCTTCGTGTTCAAAGTCAGAGCCACAGGAATGGGGAAGGGAATGGAGTTGGGGTTTGGGGGGTGGGGGGTGGGAGATGGAGACTGGGAAAAGTAGTCTGTGTTCTGGGCCCTCAGAAGCTCTGGGGGCCAGCTTGGTATCTCCCCTACCCCCCACCCCTGACTGCTGGCCATCTCCGGCTCTCTTCTCGGCCCCTCCTTTGTGCCCTGCCTTGGCTCAGCCCTGTCATTTCAGGCCTGGACCAAACCCCAGCCTCTCCTGGCTCTCCTCCAAGCCAGCCTCCAGAGCAAGCTTTTTAAGCCACTGAGCTTATCACATCATCCCTGATTCTGGGATAGAATTCATATTTAGAATAAAATATGAACTATTCAGTCCAGAATTTGATGCCCTTCACAGTTCTAATCTTTTTATGCTTTTGCCCATGAAAACCCTCCCCTCCAGGCCAGCAAACCACTGGCCATTCCCTTATGCTTCTCCTGCTTCTATGCCTTTGCCTCGACTGGTTCTTCCACCTCAAATGCCCTTCCACTTCCTGGGTGCCTTCAAACGCCTACCCATGCTTTAAAACTGAGATCAAATGCGTCTTCCTCCAGGAAGTCTTCCCTCACCCCCTTCCCCAGCTAAAGTTACCCATCTTTTCTCTGGTTTCCACAGCCTCTTTAATGCATCTATTTCAGCTCTTACCTTGTCTGTCTCCCCTGGGACTGTGAGACACTGAAGGGCACAGGACATGGCACCATAGCAAGTGGACAAAATATGCTTGCTACGTGAATGAATGATTCTGGCTGCAGGGATCCTTATGTGGGGGGTAGGCAGGGGTCCAGAGAATGGAAGACACGGGGAGACAAATTGCTGCTCATCAAAGAAACACAATCCATCTGGAGCTGCTGAGAAGCCAAAGGCCCTGCTTCAGGAGGTAGGGACTCCCTCTCATGGAAGCGTGCAAGAGGGTGTAAACGCACAGGGTTGGAAATCGCTAGAGGAATTCCATCATTGGATGGAAGTGTTAGACGGAGGAGCCTTTGCATTTCTTGAATCAGCTTCTGAGAGAACAGCCCTCTTCCCCATCCCAGCTGCCAGTTCCATACTGTGTCATGGTGAGGGTGTGTCTACACCTACCATTGGTGCTGGGAGGACCATCAATAGGTAGGAGAACCCTAACTGAGATGTTTGCAGCCACATTTTCAAGGGAGAGTTTGGGTCCTAGAACAATAATAGCCCTGAAAGGATCTCCAGAGTCATCAAACCCATCAGATGGAGGAACTGAGGCCCAGGAGGCTGTACCATTGCTAACACTGGGATACTCACTGGGGAAACTCTGGGTGTCGGCTGATCCCAAATTCCAGCTAGCATTGTGGTCCCTCCCTTGGGCTGGCAACACACAGTTAAATACAGTTGACCTCCAAACAATATTCTGAAAATGCCAGCACTTCGTATCTGGGAAATCCCTGGTTCCCCAATTTTGAATTCAAGAAATAGGGTCACTAAATCTGTTCTGATTCTCTCCTCTGGTTTCTGGGGGGATCGCATCTAGAGAAGCCCTCTCTGGTTTTAGCGAAGGTCATGCCTGCCCCATGAGTCAGAATTTGGGGGTTCAGAGGGGCAGTATCTGTGACTGCAACAGCCAGGGGTGGAGCTGCTGGGCAAAGGCACCAGGGCAGAGAGAGGAAATCAGACCCAGCGTTCTGTGTGGACTGATCCCTTGTCACTAGTAGGTACAGTGGCAAAGTACCTTCTCATCCATTTAATTCTCATAGCTACTTTGGGAGGGATTATCTAGGGCTCAGAAAGGGTCTTATTCAAGATAACACAATACATTAGAAGCACAGTCAGGAGTTGAACTCAGGACTTCAGGATCCCTTCCATACTCCCTTACTGGGTTGCCATAGTTCCATTCAGTTACACTAACTTTCGATTCTGCACACATTCATTCAGCCAGCACAGATTGAGCACTGCCTGTGTGCTAAGGACTGAGGGTACACCAGTTAGCAAGCTGATCTAGCATCCTCGTGGAGTTCACAGTCTGGGGGAGATGGATGCATAACCAAGCAGTTACAACCCACTGTGACAAGTGCTGGGTTGGAGGGCAACCTGGGAGAGGCCCCCTAGCCCAGGTGGAGGGTGGTCAGCAGAGGCTTCCTGGAAGAAGTTATGCTCATAAGCTGAGCCTTGGAAGAAAAGTAAGAATTATACAGGCTGGGGGCTGGAGTGGGGGTGGGTCACAGGGCAGGGTGTTCCAGGCAGAGGGAACAGCAGGTGCAAAAGCCCAGTGAAAGCATTGTGAGCTGGAATCTGGGACCGTTGCAGAGTAGCTGGAGTCATGAATTTTGTTCAGACAAGTAACATGAGAGGAAGCAGCAAAGTCTCATATGCCAAGGCCTTCCCTGTGCCCTGTGGGGAGAACTGGGCACTCAGAGGTGGCGTTGAGTACAGGCCAGGAAGCTGCTGGTGGCAACAGAACTGGGGGCTGGCACCAGGGACTGCCCCTGAAGGAACCTATGTGCAGGCGAATTTTATGGCATACAGGGAGAGTCCGAGTTGCCTAGTAAGAGTGTGGGCCCTGAGGACAAATGACATGGACAAATGACATTCCTCCCCGAGTCTCAGTTTCCTCATCTATAAAATGGGGATAATAATAGGGCTACTGTAAGCTTAGGGCACTGTAAGGTGTCAGGAACCCTGCGAAGAAAGCAGGCCCCAAGGTACTAGAACAATAATGATGATGGGACTGCTATAGGAAGCGCACAGTTTGTGTCAAGGCTTTAAGCTAACGAGCCCATTAGGAGCTTTCCCAACAACAGCCCCAGGAAGTTATCCTTTCCAAATGCTCATTTTACAGTTGAGGTAATCGGCTCAGTGCAGTGAATGACTTGCCCAGAGCTACATGCAGCCCCACTTGGCCTTTGCGCTTGCTGGGTAGCGAGGATCGGGTTGGGAGCGGGTGCCTAAGCACCACGTCCCTCCGGCAGGTACCTGCGCGCCATGTACCTGGGACTACAGAGCCGCTGGCGCGGGGAGCGGCTGCGGCGCCACTTCTACTGGCGGATGCTGTTCGAGAGCGCCGACGTGAGCATGCTGCGCCTGCTGGAGACCTTCCTGCGCAGCGCGCCGCAGCTCGTGCTGCAGCTCAGTCTCTTGGTGCACCGAGGCGGCTATCCCGACCTACTGCTCGGTGAGCCCCGCCCCCACCGTCCTCCCTGCCGGGGACTCTGGGGATGCCCTGCACCCCTCCTCCACCCCCCCAGCTCACTCACCTTCAGTCAATATTCAGTATTGTTACTGCCCGCGTGTCAACTCTCCCTGCCTCAAGGCCCCCGGGGATATCCTGTGCACCCCATTACCCTGCTCCACTCACTGCCTCTTCTACTCTCACCACCCTCCAGGCCTCTGGAGACCCCCCCCCCGCCCCCGTAGCGGCCCCTCCAATGGCTCACTTACCCTCAGTGTTAGGAGACCTGCCCCCCCCCCTTCTTGCTTCCTCTCAGGCCCCTGTGGGATTCCCCCTCCAGTCCTCCCCTTTTCCTCATTGTCAGGGAAGACCAGACCCCATTTCTGCCAAGTCCAGAGTCCCTTGACTCCATCACCATAGCTCAGACCATCCCCTGCCGGCTTCATTTCGCAAACTGTCCCAATCCCAGCCTGCATCTCCTGGAGACCCCCTGCCTCTTGACCTGACCCATTCATCAGCTTCCAGAGAGCCTATCCATCTATCCTCTCACTGCTCTTCACCCCCCTGCCCCCCGGGAACCTCTACGAGGCCTAGTCTTGGTCCCCATGCATTCAGCCCCACCTTGCCCCTTCCCTAATTCCAACAGACCAGGTCAACCCCTTCCATGTCAGAGAAATGCCACATCCCCAGTCTCGCTGGAGCTCCCCATGCTCCTCCCACCCAGAATCTGTCCAGCCCACTCTCAATGTCCTGAAAGACTTTATCACCATATACAGGCCCCCCGGGGATCCCCAGTCAGAACTCTTCCCACCCTAGATTTTCTTCCCATCCACTCAGCTGTGCTCAGCTTGGTATCTCTCTCCACACCCCAGCCTCATTCGGGTGATGTGTAGCTTCTAACAGTCCCCTCCTGGCTCCTCCAAGCCCTAATTGTGACACTCCCCCCTCACCTTCTTTTCCATTCCCAGAGTCCTAGATCCTAATTGCCCACCCTCCCACCAAGACCCCTGAACCCTAACAGCTCCATACTAGAGACCTGGACCTGCCCCTTATGGAGACCCAAGTCACCCACCTTCCTTCTCACCTTTGCACCTCCATCCACTCTCATCCCCCATCACTGCTCTTGAAGGCCACCCACTCAGGCCGTCCTCACGCCCTGCTTGATTTGTACACCCTTCCCTCACACCTCCTCAGAGCCCAGCTCCTGATCCAGAACCCTCCCCTCTACCCAGACCCACCCCTAACCCAGCCCGCCCCACCCCCACCCTGTCTCCACAGCCCTCTCCACCTCCGCTTCACTCGTGTCCCTGGCCTGGACGCTGGCCTCCTACCAGAAGGTGCTGCGGGACTCACGGGATGACAAGCGGCCGCTGTCCTACAAGGGCGCCGTGGTGCAGGTGCTGTGGCACCTGTTCACTATTGCGGCCCGCAGCCTGGCCTTCGCGCTCTTCGCCAGCGTCTACAAGCTCTACTTCGGCATCTTCATTGTGGCTCACTGGTGTATCATGACCTTCTGGGTCATCCAGGGCGAGACGGACTTCTGCATGTCCAAGTGGGAGGAGATCATCTACAACATGGTGGTGGGCATCATCTATATCTTCTGCTGGTTCAATGTCAAGGAGGGCCGCAGCCGCCGCCGCATGACCCTCTACTACTGCATCGTCCTGCTGGAGAACGCAGCACTCACCGGCTTCTGGTACTCCAGCCGCAATTTCTCCACCGACTTCCACTCGCTCATCCTGGTCTGTGTGGTGGCATCCAGCTTCGCGCTGGGCATATTCTTCATGTGTGTCTACTACTGTCTCCTGCACCCCAATGGGCCCATGCTGGGTCCCCAGGCACCTGGCTGCATCTGCCCTGAGTCCGCAGAGCCCTGTGGCCCACCAGCCGACGCTGTCACAAGTCCCCCGAGGTCCCTGCCAAGGACTACAGGCGCTGAGCGGGATGGGGCCTCAGTGGGGGGAGAGCGTGCAGGGACCCCCACACCACCTGTCTTCCAGGTGCGGCCTGGCCTGCCTCCCACGCCAGTGGCCCGCACCATTCGGACAGAGGGGCCTGTCATTCGGATTGACCTGCCTCGTAAGAAGTACCCCGCGTGGGATGCTCATTTTATTGACCGCCGGCTCCGGAAGACCATTCTGGCGCTGGAATACTCCTCGCCTGTCACGCCCCGGTTACAGTACCGGAGCGTGGGGACCTCCCAGGAGCTGCTGGAGTATGAGACCACAGTATAGGCCACAGTCTCTCCCCCAAAAGGGGTGGGCTTTGCAAGCCTCACATCAACCACAGTTTTGAGCCTGGAATTTCAGGGTCACCAGGCTAAGGGGGGACTGGATCTGGATCTGTTGGTCCAAAGGTAGATTGGCCCCATTGGGTTCTTTCAGGGGAGCGGGCAGCCTTGTGGAGGCCCCAGCCCGAGGCCCTGTTTTCAGCCCTGTGGCCCATTTCGTAACCCCTCCTTGAACCAGGGCCTGGGTACTCAACTGGTGCTACACTCCTCCTGAGCCACCTGTCCCTCTTTCATGAAGGCCTCCATTACCACTTCTGGTGCTGGGGACACCACACCCTCTCCCCTGCCTGGAGTTGCACACGTGTCACCCCTGGCGGGCCTGTCAGAGCAGGAGCATTGTCTGGGATCCATGACTGAGGAGGCCCTGTGCCCCTGAGGGGCTGGTGGGGGTGGGCTGCCTTTGCGGTGGGAGGAGATCTCTGAGGATGGGGAAGGCTATGGAAGATGTGAGGTGTGAGGTTGGAGCATCTGGCAGACAAGTGGGTACAGTTCCTGTGGGGTCCAAGGTCAGGAGCCTGGGCAAGAGTGGGATTAAAGGAGGGAGTTGGGGTGGGGTGGGGAGTTAGGGGTGGGGGTTGACAGTGCTTGAGCTGCACAGGAGGAAGGACCCTGAAACATCTGAGAGGTTCAGGCTGGCCGAAGCACGAAGAGGGAGCAGATATGCCCCCTCTATCAGGATCATAGAGAATGTTCCCCAAGTAAACACCTCCAGAGACACCCTTATTGTGGGCTGTGTTATGGATGAGGTTCCAGACACCTCAGGTGAAATGTTCCCAGGAGCCTTTCTTTGTTCTAGATGAGCATATAGAACATTTCTTCTAGACAAAGGTCTTGAACACTACAGATAAAATGTCTGGGAAAATACTCTGGGCTCAATTATAGATGAAGCTCTAGCACATGTAGCAGAGGAACTGGTCTAGAGAGACATTCTGAGTTCTGGATTAAGTTCTAGAACATGTAGCTGATCAAATGTCCTAGGGAGTCACTGATTTGGATTCTGTTATGAGGGTGAGTGCAATGGAGCCCTACTGCTCTGCTTGGGGGGATTCTAGCTCCTGATGTGGTGGAGGGGCCTCTAGAATGGAGTGGAATATTCTAGAAATAGGAACTCCAGTTCTAGACTTCTGGGGTTCTATAATAGTAGTTCTATGCCCCTGTCTACCTTGGTCCACAGCCATCTTCCCAGGAGGACATTGTCCTCAGAACCCCTGCTACATTTCAACTGCCAAGTGGTTTCCAGCTAGAAAAAGATGAGCTCGGGGCATGACATAAATCTCAGTTCCCTGCCACCCTGAAGGTGTGGTTCCCTGGAGCGGCAGCTGGAAAACTGCTTGGTTTTGCCCAACCCTTCAGCACCTGTGGTCCATTCCCATGGCCCAAACATCCCGGGACACCCGTGAGACCACTTATGCAGCACCCCTCCTCTCCACTTTAGGGTGGGGGAGTGTGGAAGAGGGCAGTTCTGTGGGGTATGAGGACAAAGCCTCTAAGCAGAGCTTGGAACATCCCCAGCCACGTCCCCACACCCTCATGCCATCTGAAGTGCGTTCAACACAAGGGCACAGTAGGTGGTGTTAAGGACAGATGCAGACCTGGGCTGGGGGTGAGGTGGACCATGAGAATCTTAGACTATGCAAATTAGAGGGGCACTTAATCCTCTCTGGTTCAGCCTCCCTTGGGTTATAGATGGGAATCTGAGGCCCAGAGTGGCAGTTAGCCTCACAAGGTTCCAGACTCCTGGTTGGCTGTCCTATCAGATAGTGATGGGTGACAGTGAGTTTTCTGAGGATGCAGGGAGGAGGCCACACTCAGGAGGCAGGGTGACCCCAAAGGCTGAGAGGAAAGAACCACACGCATATAAGCACACATCACACCCATGACACAAGGCACCTCACCCCCCTGGCACACAGGCCAAGACAGTGTATTCGTCGTCCCTTCCACCAAAGCACAAAGAATGCTTTTCCCTCTTTCTTCTATTTCCCTGATCCCTAAGAAGCCTCAGGAACCAGGCCTCAAGGTGATGGGCGGTAGGGGACGGCCGAGGCTGACCCAGACCCCTCTGGTGGGTTCACCCATCCTCCTTGTCCTCTGCCCAGATCAGTCTTCGGAGACTGAACTCCATGGCCGGTTACACACATGTTGAAGCCCTGTATGAGACAGGCGCACTTAGGATGTGGACCCAGGCCCACCTGAGCGTTTCTCCAGGGCCAGTTTTCACCCCATGTTGTTTCGTCTAAACTTTCCCCTGTTTGCAACTTCCCTACGAAAAAGATGTTATCAACCCATCTTATGGAGGAGGAAACGAAGGTTCAGAGAGGTGACATGAAGGTCACCCTTGGCAAGTTATTTTACTCCCCAGCGTCGTAGAAGGGCCTGTCTGACTGCCCCATTCTCCAGCATCCTAAAAGGAAAAGTTAAAACATATCCTCCCTGGGAGCTGGGAGTCCTTACGGCTCCAGGAGACACCCAGTGAACCAGGAAATAGGACTGAGCTGGCAGTGCTGAGGAGTGGCTTGAGGCTCTCAGGGAAGCCATGGCCACATGTTTTGGACCTTACTCCATTCCCACCCCTCACATCTTCTCAATCCCCCACAACCTTCCTTTGGAACCTCTGCCTGCAAGGACATCTGAGCAGCAGAAATGGCCCTTGGAGAGGGCTGCAGGCATCTCCTGCTTTTCACCCTCAGGAAAGAACTTAGCCGCTTAAGAACCCCCACGCCCCTCCCACACACACCTCCAGAAGCTCAGGATCCATCCATCCCAGGCCTGAGGTCCCCCTCTCCCCCAGCCTGTCCTCCACTCCGTCTGGTCCCTGCCAGTCCCCTTGTTTCACCGGGATAGAGGAGTCAGAGTGGAGAAGGCACCATCCCATTCGAGCTGTTTTGTTTTCATTTCACGACACAGTCTACCTCAGCCGGTCTCTCTTCCCCACCAGAACTGGAGCCCCTAGATTCCTGACTCCCGCTCCTCATTTCCTGCCCCCCCCACCCCAGCCTTCCCAGAATCCCTAAAGGGTCCTTACAGTGAGAGAAGGCTCCAGAACCATAACCCAGTGGGGCACTTGGGGTCCCCTAAGCCACCTGCCCTCCACACCCACTGTAAAGGAGAAATGGAGAGGCCCAGAGGGCTGGGGACTTGCCCCAAATCACAGAAAGTCAATGGCAGAGTTAGGCTTTTCTTGGAGATTAGAGGTAGTTGGGTCTCTCTTCATTTTGCCAGGGACAGAAGAGAACAAGATACTCTGGGTACCCAATATGCCAGGCTTTGCCCTGCTCTCAGCATGTCCATCCCCAGGAGACCAGTGTCTCATTCCCAAGGCAGACTTCTGCCTCCTAATTTTCTTGAACTGATCTCCCAGGTTTCTGATTATGCTCCCCAAACCTCCAGGCACTACACACCCCTCTTTGCACCTCCACACACTGATGTACCACGTGCCTTGTAACTGTCACCCCTGGTGGAACAGCACAGACCTCCACCCCTCCCCAACAGGGGGCTCCCCAACAAGGAAGGCTTTCTTGGTCCCCTCCTCTCATCTGCCTCATCCTTGTGTCTCCCCAAATCTGCCTTAGCCCCTGCGAGCTCCCTGCTGTACAGAGGTTTGTCACGGATGAGAGTTGGGGAAGCAGAGGGCAGGGAGGGCGGGGCCTGGGGAATGTCCAGGTCTCAGGGCGCCCACCAAGGGGGTTGGGAGTATCCAGGGAAAGTCTTCCCTGGCAGCCTCAGTGCCCTGTTGAGGGCTGAAGTTCCACAGGTACTTCCCTTGGAGCTCACCTGGGTTTGGAGTTGGCAGAAACCTCAGGCAGCGAAGAGAAGGTTTTCTGGGGCAGGGTGCATGGGTTGCAAATTCGGATGCCTTCAGGTAATGAAAATGAGAGATATGGAGGTGCTGAGTGATACAGAGTGGTGGGACTCTGGCAAACAGAAGAGTACATACCCTGCCTACAGGCACTGAAATTCAAATTTTGGAACATGTGTTCCCCCCCCATCCCACTCCC